CCATCATAAATTTATATACCGGTTTAACAATAGTAACATGTTGCAAGATTAAACACAGCATTATCTATCTTTCTACCAATCTATCATCTAACTAAAACTACTCTGACATCCAAATAATAAGAAATCAGATCAAATGTATTTATCATATTTTGAATGACCACCATGAGTGTTTTGATAACTGAAAAATTCAAAATACACCCTACAAGAAATTGGCAATAATAACAAAAGTTAACGCTGTGTGTGTGGAAAAGAACATTTTAGTATTAGACATGTTTTCCTTAACTTGCTTTGGAATTCACAGTAGTATAGTCAGTAAGAGAACTGTAAAGGGACATGGCATTTTCAACTCAATATTTAGTGTGTCAGACCTTCCCTCTCTCAGGCAGCTCGGTCAAATTATCAAAGTTGAGATGGTCCATTAGAGCAGGATCATCTTTTAAAACCAGGACATGGACTTAATAGAAGTGGAGTGTGTCACTTGAGAGGACATCTCTGGATGCTGCTGTCCTTTGCAATCTGTGCTGCCTGACAAAACAGGCACACAACTCAACATTTGGTTCAACACCATTAGTGGCTCCAGCTATGTGGTACGAAAGCACAAGAAGCATTAAATAGAGAGGACAAGCCTTCCTCAACTCGCTTTCAATGGAGAGTACTTTATGAATTTTTCATGCTATTTCTTTTCCATAAGATTTTAATGAGCTAAAGTATGCCACCTACATAGAACTCAGATAACACGGGGAGATGGGCACTATATGCTTGAGGTAGCTGCAGAAGTAGATAAGGGGAGAGTCTTTTAAATGTATCATCTGAATGAATACAATTTAGGTAGAAAATGAAAAGTGTTTTTGCTAAAATGCTTTAAATAGCAGGAGAAGATTTCTGCTACAAAAATTCAAAAATGATTATTCATTCCAAATGGATTATTTATTTCAGAAATGAATATTTATAGGGAGCCTCTGAATTAGGCAGTAATCTTTGCCATTGTTTAAACACAATTAACAATATGCAAAGTAAGGTCCTGCGTTTTAGACAATATGTGAGCATAAGTACTCCAACTGGCAGCCATTTCAATGTCCTGCAGTGAGTACGTAAACTGGAGGAGCAGCTACCTGCTACACTCTTAATTAATGAACACCTGTACACAATGAAAGGATGGCTGATTTTATGGGTGTGTGAAGATCCAGCCAGCCAATTAATGTTCAATTTAAAATCCACACAATTGAAAAAAGCAGCAGCAAAAACAATAGCAATGGCAGAAAAATTTAGTTTTCGGTGGGTGAAGTTTTCCAACATATTTGGGTTACTTTACCTTTTATTTTCTTGGTTGCTTAATTTTTATCAGAACATCTTTTACATGGTTATTTGTACTCAATGCACTAACATGACCATTTGAGGTGTATTTTTAAAGACCAGTTTTCGTGTGCTTTTAAGAAAGGCTACAGAAATTCTTGGAACAGATCATATACATTACAATCAACTATGTTGGAAGTGAAAAAAATAAAAATTCTAAAATACTTAATTCTTAGTGTTATAGCACATGCATATCTGACTTAGGGGTATTAAAAGGGATATTCCCTTGTACTCTTTCCATACAGGTATATTGAACAAAATTTCCAGATACTGATCTAGATTCTGAAGACAAAGTGATAAAATATAAAACAAAAGAAGAATAGAAAACAAAAAACAACCATAAAACAATAACTTCATTCTCAACATATTTATATTCAAAGAATTACTGATACTCATGTTATCATTGATTATAAAGATACTAAATTTTATTCCTCCCTATAGATGTAATTGGGGAGAAGGGCGAGACTTTCTACTCCCGTAAATAGTTACCATCTTGGAAACCCACAGGGGCAGTTCCACTCTGTTCTAAAGGGTCGAGCTCTGAGTTGGCATTGACTTGATGCCAGTACATTTTGATTTGTTGTTTATAGATGATATCTATCCATCCTTCATTTATTGGTTGTTTGCAGATTGTTCTTACCAACATAATTGATGTTTGTGATCTTCTCAGCAAATGCTTTACTGGTAAGTTTCTTAATACAATATTTATTATTTTCTTAATACAATATTTATTTTATAGGAAATTAAGCAAAAAAGAGCTCAATAAGAGTTTGTCCAAAATACTCAAAGAACTGCTCCAAAATATTCTATATTCTGCAACTTTCATATTTCAGACAAGACATTTTAAGATTTAGTTCTTAAAAAATCTCTTTAAAAATTCTTAAAATTCTTTAAAAAGATCTTTAAAAATTCTCTTTATGTGTCACTGAAAACATTTTATCAAAGGTACTTCATACTAAAATACTGGAAGGATGCTAGGTTTTCTATGTCAGGAAGCAGATGAGTATTAACTTAATACAGAGACTTAAAGAAAGAAGTAGCCCAAGAAAAGACTTTTTATCTTTTCAAATGCATTAGGTTACTGGTGAAAAGCTACACAAAAGAGTTTTAAAGAAGCACATTGTAATTAAAGGTAAGTTTTATCACAGATTAAAAAAGAAGCTGAGTAAACCTTTACTGAAATTGATGGAAATGCTTTATTGAATGAGTTTATAATTAGAAGAGATATTAGCTGCTTCGTTGACATGAAGAATTGAAGATTGATGCAAGGATTGTAAAGAAACTAAACTTTCTAGAAGCCCAGGGAAACAAAAGTAAAGAACTGAGATCAAAGAAAGTGATTTTGCTCTGGGAACGAATTGTATGAGGCTGAAGTAAATTAACCAGCACACTATATAAGGCAAGCAATAATAATGACTTCAGGTTGCTTTTAAAGAGACCAGAGACATATTAAATTCAGAATAATGACACTACCAACTCTTACCTGCTTCATTTGTACGGATCATTCGAGATGGGGTGCTTGGATCTCCAGTCCCGATTGGATTTGTGGCCACCACTCTAAATTCATATTCTACCCAAGGGTTCAGTTCCACGGCCATTGCTGATTCCATGTCCCCTGTTATGATTTCTGGGACTAGAGAAAGAAGGCGATTTTAGTTAATTGGGAAGGCTGAAGAATTGCTGTGAATGACAATTAAGGACATCACAACTACTGACAGAGTCAGCAAACTTCTACGTAATTCCTCATAACATGACTTCACCTTCAGCTTCATTAAAACGTGTTGCCATCGAGTGTGCCTCGTGGTGACACTACGTCAGCACAGAACTGAGTTCTACCGAGTTTTCTTCTGAGTCACCTCAGGGCAAATCTGAAACTTAACCTTAGCAGTTAAGTTTCGTAATCATTTACACCACCTAGGGTCTCCTTAGTCCTATCAGGAAAAAGCACGTGCGTGTGTCAACATTTGTTTAAGATCATTAGAATTCATTCATTTTAGGCTTTTACACACTAACTCTTGTCTACACTAAAAATGTTCTTCAAACTCTCAGCCTCAGAAAAGTGGTCAAGTAGCACTATATTTAAGCAAATAATTTTCCTTCCATTTCTTGGAGGAACTTGTTGAGCATTTTTTCCTGTATGTTCTTGAAAACATGCTTAGACACTTGATACTTCCAATCAGTAGATTAACAATGTTCCTATTTAAATTAAAATCTACTGTCTGTGGGATTCAAGTAGAAGTTCTGAATTCTTCCTGGAGTGACTTTTGAAAAATATTTCGATCTTAGTAAAATATCAAATGTTTGTAAAATCATCTATGTCTACATTTATATCTATCTATCATCTATCTATCTATCTATCTATCTATCTATCTATCTATCTATCTATCTATCTATGATGCTTGTTCAAATTCTCTTTGTGCAAGAGAAAAAACTGGGTAATCGGCACCCCCACACATTGATGTTAGATCCAGTAAGTCAGTTCCCACTCTTAGCAACCTGGTATACATAATACATGCTTGTATGTGTATATGTGTAGATATATATTACATGGTATATATACTCTGCTTAGGATTACTTTTCATATTCTCATATCTCTCTTGTCTACGAAATAGTTCCACAACAGAATATCACAGGAAGAAAATGAGAGAAATGAGCCTCTGTCTTTATATGCCAAGTACATCTGGATTTATATTAGTCCTAGATTTCTGTTTAACCATGTAAGGAGGTGAGTTCTTGATTTAAGCATTCAACACAGTTTTAAGGAGTCCTTGATAGTTTGTTCATATCCTCTTTCTTCAAGAGAATGGACTTGGTCATCTGCTCCCCCACATTGTTGTTCGATCCTCTAAGTCAATTCCAAGTCTGACCCGCCCTGTACACAGCAGAATGAAACACGGTGAAGAGCTGCACCATCCTCACGGTCATTGCTATGTTCAAACCCATGGTTACAGCCACAGCATCCATCCACCTCCCCTCTTTTGCTGATCCTGTACTTTATTAAGTACGGAGTCCTTCTCAAGGGACTAGTCCTTTCTGATGCCATGTTAGAAAACACAATCTGAGACAGTCTTGTGATCCTTAGTGCTAAGCCATAACCTGGCTGCATTTCGATTTAAATAAAAGGACAGACAAGTATTGACCTATAAAGATTACAGCCACTCAAACTCTATAGGGCAATTCCGCTCTGTCATTCTGGATTGCCATGGGTAGGACTCAATGAGATGATATAAAATTGTTCTGTTTTGAGAGTCCCTGAGTGGTGCAAACAGTTACTACACAAGGTGGCTGACCAAAAGTTTAGAAGCTTAATAAGTCTACCCAGAGATGCCTCCAAAGAGACGCTTGACAGTCTACTTCTGCAAATTCAGCCTGTCAACACGATTCAGAGTCTCCTCCACAGCCACGGGCAGTGATGTTTTCCTATGATGAGGGACAATTAAACAGGCCTAAGATTTCCAATGAACATCTCTCCTGAAATATATCAAGAGAATGGAACCGAAGGATCAGTTTTGTGATGCGTAAATGATGAGTGACTAGTCAGGGTGGGCTACCTGGCAAATTCCACGACACTGCACAGTTGATTTTCTCAAGAAGTAAAATAAAGCCCTAGAAAGAAATCGGTCCTCTCTTGCTACATTGAACATGGAGCAATAGCTCCCTGATCTTAAGAGATGGGGGAAAATGTAACTATTCAGTCCACAGACTGTGAAATATTGAGCTCCGCTGTGTCAAGCATAAAGATGGGAGGAGGGGCCACAAGACAGTACCACTAATCTCTCCCTCCCAATGTACAGACCGCATCACCCAAACTTACCCTGCATCCACAGAGTTTATGTCACTGTTTCGCTAATTTCAGTCATCTCCAGCAATCCCAGATACCTGATATTCTTTCAGTCTCTTCATTCTACTCTCCTTTTCTGTCCCAGATCTTATCTTCTTGGATTCACGAAATCCTTCTGGTTTGATCTTTAGAATTCATGTCTTTCCGTTAGCAGAAGTTTCTATATGAGCAATCTCCTCTCTGAGCATCCTTACAAGTTTGCGCTCTAGTAGATGCCTGAACAGCCCTTCCTGATTCCCTTTCAAATGGTAACGGTCTTCGCACACACACCTCTATATTGGACATTTCCCGTCAGCAGACACACATAGAGGCTTCTTTCCCCCCATGAAGACAAAACAAAACTCTTTTAACCTTGTTTCTCCATTTAGGCTTCATCAGGTTTCTCTGTTGTCTTTTATAGCAAAACTTTCAAAGCATAAAGTTGTTTGAGCAACGACTTGCTGTCACCCAAGATTTCCCTCCTTCTTTCTCTCTGTTTCCCTGATGCTGGACGATGCTTCGTCCGTCTCCTTTGTGGCTGCATTTTTATTTCCCAATCCAACCAAGTCTTTCCCATTTTGTTATATGCTGTCATTAGCTAGTGTCATGGTTTGAAAAACTCTCGATAGACTGGTAACGTCGATATTTTTGTAAATGGGCTGTTAGACATTTTTATGTGGACAAAGCTCTTGATGTTTAATTCTCTAGCTTCTCCTGCAATATTTTCTCTTTAGCGAGTGACAATCCCAATCTAACAACAGTTGTGGCCCTGAATCCTGGGTCACCTTTGTTTCCCAGACCACTCCAATCCAATCCAATCATGCAAATTATAGCGTTACAGACACCAAGAGATGTTGAGTTTTCTACACAGTTTTGCAGCAAAACTCCTTAATATACAGTCTATCTTAAGTTTTCCCCAATTTTCTCCTGAACCAAATCTTATAAGGCTTTGATTTTCATTATTTTAGAACCATAATTTTGCTCCTGGCACTGATGACCTCTTGTTTTAAACCCAATACTTAATCTTTATTTTATGTGACAATATAATCATTCAAGCTCTCCTGAAAATAGACTATGGGTGGGGCAAATTTAGTGTCTCATAAACTAGTTAAGAAGCTATTGCAGTTAAGAGAGATAATAGTACCCCAGAGGGAAAGAAGCTGAAGTGATTGAAAAATAAAATTTTGAAAATATTTACAAAGTAGGGTCCACAGCAATGATGGACAGACTGAATATGAAGATTGTAAGAGAGAAAAAGAAAGATTACAAAGTGACTTCAATATATTTTACCCAACCAGCACAATAAGGGTGTCTTGCTATTAGCAGACAAGACGTCTGTGTGTATTTACTTTTTCTTATTTCATGTACTTTATTATCTTATTTTATAGGAGCTCCCCTTTTCCTTTACTATTCCTTACTCTTCTATTACTTTTCTTTCTATATAACATTCATTAACGCCTAAATCATTACATACTTCACTCTGATTGTTTTCCTAAGGATATAATGTTCAGAAGGGAAGTGTTGTTATTGTGTTTTTTCCTGCTCAATGACAGAGATCAAGTGCACAGAACATTAACAGGAAGATTCCTGATGCATGTTTGTTGAATGAGTGAAAGGAATTCCAAATGACAAGGTTTGGCCAACATTGAAAAAAAATAATTTATGTTTGAATTTTGATGTAATTATTTCATGTTTTATGTTAAAAAGAAAATAAATATACAACACAAAGTACTTTATTCGCAACATTCACACTACAATCAATCATATTTTATCTTTTTAAAGGAAAACAATACAGATTTTGAAATTCAAAATTCATCATTACATGTAATGGTTTGTATTATTTGCAAAGGTTATTGAGTAATTGAAAAACTATGAGTTGAAGGTAGGTCAGTAATCTCAAGCAATCCCAGATACCCGATACCACAATATGAAATAAATAGGGTACAAATACATTTTATAAATTATAACTCTGATTTGAAATGGGATATTCTTGAGATTATAGATAATGTAGAATTTATACCAAAGTCTTTTTTTAAAGTCTTATAGGTATGATTTCAGTTCTATTTTTATAAAGGTATTCTTTTGATAGCCATGAGTCAATATTGATTCTTAATTCAGAGAGATTCTTACTGCAGTGTATTTCCTAGTGAAAGAGAGACATACAAGAATTTCATTAATAAAATCCTAAATAAGTCTGTCTAAACAACAGACACAATCAACCAACCAAGCAATGGAGAACCTATCTTCTGTTAGAGGCATATCCACTGATAGAAAAGTATTTAAGAAACATAAATTACGTACGCATGAGTAGTCAATTCTGTAATTATAGGTGATTTGATGTCCCAGGAAAAATTGAGTCAGCTAACACTGCTTAGTAATATATAGAAGACAGTTTTACAACCAATAAGTAGCAACTTATTTGATCAGAACAGGGATCTCAAAGGGAAAATATCTACTTCTATGGTTGCTGTATTTGATTCAAAATGTAAATAAAGTATTCCTATTCACAGTCAGCTGATTTGAGTCTGATTTTACAGGTAGGAGTATTTGTAAATTAATTACAATATAAGATCAGTTAGAAGCTCCATGAACAATTCACTATTTCAATTGCTAAAAATAAGGAATTTACTGTTGTGTGCATTACATTCATGCTGATGTATAAAGGAATTTTATGTGTTTTTTCACACACTAGTTCATAAATTACATTAAATTTATCATATAGTTTAAACTCTAGACCCACTTTTTTTCCTGGATTATAACTCACTTTTAGGTAAATTTGTCTCTTCAATTGGCTTAAATAAGAGTGCTGCATTGAAAAGACCCACAACATTGAAGGCACAGTAATGGCTACAGAAACACTTCTTGCTTCTTCATAAGCATGAACATCGTAGCCAGGTACAGGAGCTGAAATCTAGATATTTTACAGTACACAAAAGTGAAGATTGGACCTTGGTAGCATGCCCAGCCAACAGCAGTCTTTGCCTAGCTGCAAGTTGCTGGGCTACAGAGAAACAATGGAAATCAGGGTGGCCTCTTTGGGTGAGGAAACACCTTACTAAAACAAACAAAGGAAAGGTA